CTAGGATACCATCTCATCCTACAGCAGATGTCTGTAACAGTTCAGAGGAATCTAACACTCAGGGTGCCTACTGCTCTTTCCTGATGGAAAGGGAAACTGATAGGACCAGGACCAAGACAGATGTGGGGTTCTGTGATTAAAAAAAAAAAAATAAAAAAAAAGTGAAATTGGCCAAGAGAAATCCTACATGATACGACACCCCAAATGATTCACATTACCCACTAGCCTCAGTGTTCCCCTAGTCTGGGCTTTGCAAATGCTAAGGTGGAGAAAAAGAGAAACTTGAAGCGAGACATGAGTCTTAGCAGTTCTTTATGTGACTCCTAGTCCCACAGAACATCTGTACCATCTCCTGACTGGAGTTCTACCATTGTCCTTTTTGCAGATCTTCTAAACATAAAGTGGTTCCATAAACCCAGACACTACTGGAATTTAAAACGTCCTGTAAAAGAGTAAAAGGTATGTATAAGGTTCCACACATAAGCAGCCTGATAAACTGAATGCTGATGTCCTTTACAGTTACCCAAGAATGTGTTATGACATTATCTTAGTAGTCAGACCACCACCCAGTTCTTAGTACCCCTATCCTCAGAAACAGTTATTAAAACATCTGTTAAAACTGCAGAGTCCCAGTCCTACCTGACCCCCTTTCTCCATATTACAACTTCTCCAGGCAGCCACGTATAGAAGGAGCCTTAACGAAGTTCAAGGGCACTCTAATACCACCTTCCTAGCATCCTAAGGCGTCACTGAAGCAAAGGTGGTACTGCACTGCAATAACAAACTCCAAGACAGGTTTCCGAAGATCATTTTACAAATACAAAAATAGGCAGTCTCCCTAAACTGAACACTGACTCCAGCACACCACCTTACTCGACATTTTCTAGCTCTTAACTTCTATCTCCTCCCTTCAAATTTCCTGTACCCTGTAACAATACACCTTGCCTAAAATCCACTCCAGTCCCATGAGCGTCTCACAGGAGCTTCTAGAGGCTCAGCAGGTTTATAATTCAGGTGTTACATGCTCAGGTTAACATGAGATGTGTATGGCCTTATTTTAGATTCCACATTTTTTCAGTCTTGGCCAGTTGCTCTGTTTTCTGGCATGGATGCTTTGACCCAGCTGCTAAACCCATCGATGCCTTTCCTGCTGCCAGTGACTAGAGCATGGACTCGTGATGGAGACAGTTGGGTCTCACAGCACTAACACTGAATTGACAAAGGAAGCAGAACTTGAAGGCAGGTTGTCTGACAGGGGTTTTTTTTGTGGGTGGGTGCTATAAAGAAAGGATGTTTTGCTTTTGTTACCTAAAAGTATCAAATTTTCTAATTTTCCTCAATTGGTCAATTATTGCAGATTGCAAATGACAAACCTCAAATACCAAAGAGGTTTCTTAAGGATAATTACAAAAAGTTCTTTGGGCAAATACAGCCTGACACCACAATGAGCCCAGAGAGAATACATTTCACTAGTCAACATTTTGGTATTGGATGCAATCTGTGAAAGCCTTTATCTGAGCTATGATATCATAAGATCATAACGTTAGAACCAGTGTAAGTTAAAACAATCTATCTTTGCTTCCTTTGCTTAATTACAAGGCGGCCTGTCAAACAAAATTGTTTGAACAAATAAGATGTGCTCGATCACATCACTACTGTTCATGTTTGCACTGTTTTGATCAGGATTTGGAACTAGTATTTTGAGTTTGTTCCTTGATGTTGTCAGCAAAATACTTATCAGTCTCACTGTGGTTACGATGTTGCTGTTCAGTTGCAATACTTCACAAGGTGCTGCTTATTTTTGTGTCAGGCTCTGCTGTTTACTGTCATTTTAAAGTGGGGTGCGTTTGATCAAGCATCCATCAGTAGTTGTTACAAATCTTATCAACTACACCAATTCTGTTTTCTTGCTGATGATAGGCTGGATTTCTTTTTCATTTATACGGATCAATTCTTCGAAAAGTTCTCTCTCTTCCTGCCATTTTTACGCTGGATGCTACTTCAACAGGACACGTAGATCTTGTCATGAAAAGAAAAGCTGGGACACAAAAGTTAGAGGCTGTTTTTATTAAAGCGTGAATTTGTTTTCGAAGGGACTTGCAAATATATCATTTATGGTGGTAGGCCTGTATTTCCTTCTTTCTAAGTGCAGCACGTAGATCCTCAAATACAAGGGGAGTATAAACAAGGTAAAATGAAACTACAGATCAGTGACTGATCCATTCTATGATCCAACCCATTTCATGGTGAAAGTCTTCTGGTGATAACGCTTTTCACATCCTCAGGTCTTCTTTAACGCGTGCTACAAATCTTCAGAATGCCCCTAACTTGGGAAATAAGCAAACACCCTCAGTAGTAAATCTGGCCAACACAATACACAAGGATTTAAAAATGGAGGAATTCCAGGTTCCCCAGCCAGGACTTGAACCTGCGACCTCCTGGCCCAGAGGTGTGAAAGCACTCTCTCAAGCCAATGATATAACTCGAAATGCTAAAAACTGAAGACATGTCAAATGAATCATTTATTCAGTTCAGTCAGCTTTAAATTTTTCTTGGTAAATGTTCCTGAAAACAGAGAAAGGCTTCCAGGTTTCTGTGTGTGCACACACGTGTGCAAGGACACATGAGCATATACAACCTCCACTAAGAAATGGAAGCTTGTATGTTTCTTCTGACATACTAAAGATTCAATATGTTTTTACTTTTTTAACCATCTATGTTCCAATTTATAATGATGATTGAAAATATTTGGAACCAAAGTATGCCTTGTAGTTTCAGTTAAAGCAGATACTTTTCAATGCATATTAAACTTCACATAAAAATTGTCTGGAGGGAGAAAGATGTTATGATCCAACATAATGCTCTTCAGCTTTGTCACTTGAGGGTCATTCAAGTGACGTTTAGCATAATGTTATCCATCCAGAACCTTTATGTCATTTTTGAAATTAATTTCTCAGGTTTTTTCATAGAGCTATTTGGGAACTGCACCCCACTGTTGTCACAGGATTGCTGATCCAGAATCCTGTGGTCCTAATGATCAAAATCCATCTAATTTCAAGCCTAAATATGTTCAGACTGAACTTGGTCCAATTTTTTTCCTCACATCAGCACTGTTCTTTAATTTAAAAGCTTGTGGGAATCCCTGAGGTCTTTTCCAACCTTAATGACTCTGTGATTCCATGATCATGCTGTAGCAGAGAGTTTTGCCATTTGCAGCCTTTGTTCCACATCTAGGTTTGTTTTTTTTCATCTTCCCTTATACGACAGGTTCTCCATTCCCTGACCATCTTGGTAGTCCTTCTCTGTTCCTGTTCAGATTTATCCTGCTTTAAATGTAACTAGCTAGAAATCTTGAGAAACAAGTCTCACACCTACCTGAACTCTCTCTACCAGGCACAGTTTTCCTTCCTTCTCTCAGGATTGCACGCTTGCATGACACAGATGGGTCACTGACACCATGTGAAGAACTTTGCACAGAAAAAGCCTCCTTTTTTCTGCTCTGTCTTTCCACCTGAGGAGCTCCAAGTTGTAGCAATGATTCCTGCTATTGGCTGTCGCCCTGTATTTTGTTTTTTAATATCACATTTCATTCCATTGCAGTTGTTATTCTAGCAGGTGTAGTAACTCAGTGCCTGGGAATGTCCTCCTGTAAGATTTGTTCTGACAAAGACATTTCAGAGAATTCCATATCTTATAAATCAAGCTGCTGTCATGCTCTGTTTTTCTTCTTCAGTCTCTTTCTGAGGTAAGCATCAGCCAGCAGTTACTCCAGCCAACATCATCAAAATCAGGCACTTTGTTCAGTTGCTGCACTTCCAAAGCAAACTCAAGCAAAGTAAAGATATATAAGAACAGGTTCAGGGACCTTGCAAGTAAATTATAAAAACATAAAACCCAAGCAGACACAACCAGCCACATTAATGCTTCACTGAGCTTCTTGATGTAGTTCTAACTCCAGGGTTCCTGCTACAAGTAAAACATGTAGTGCTTTAGCCACAACATTATGGTTAGAGTAACGCACGCCCAAGTGAAAATCTGAGGACGATCAGAATAAAATGCTTTACTAGAGCGGTATGGCATTCCTACATGGAAAACCATATTACTAAAAGACACATTTGTAGTAAGAAACCTACATCCAAACTAGCCTTGGAATAGATGATATGGGAGGAGTTAGTATGGTACCAGGCTGTATACACCAGGGCTGACCCATCTCAGACACAGCATGGCTTACACCTACGCTGCTTCCACTGGTTTCTTCTCCAGCCCCCAGTCCCCAGAAATAAGTCTGTGTGTCAATGACAACATTTCTCTCTCCATCCATTTAGCTTCTGTAGTCACCGCAAGAAGCAGCTTCTACCTGAAAAATCTTGGAACAATGTCTAATTTCTAAACATGGAAAAAAAAAACTTAAATTGCTCATCTATACATTTCATAACATTTGAGCATACAGCCTTATAAATAACAACTCATTCTTTGACAGGTTTAGTGATTCTAAACCACAGCTTATCAGATCCTTGTCAAGCAAACACACCTAATTGCAGCCAGCCTGGCAGAATCACACCGGAAAACGCTGAATGTATCACACCAGCAACACAAATCCAAACCAGTTATGAAGCCTGTTGATTATCGTGTGTGTGCGCACGTGAACCGTATCTGTATTTTCATAGATGGTTTGTAATTCGTCAGTCATGTTGAGGAACTCTGCTACCCTTAAAATGCCCTCCTGTTTCTACCAAGGTTCTAAATCGCCAATCACCTATAGTTCCACCTGAAGGAAGTGGGTCCTGTATGTGCCCCAAAATAAGAGCAGCTATGTTTTCAAAATCTAGACTGTAATGATTTTCACTTATTTAATGAGAAAAAAAATAATCCATTAGTTGTTGAAGGGTTAGGGTTTTTTTGTTCTTTCTTATGTTAGTAGCCCAAGTATAAATACAAGGGATTAAACTGATTAAGTATTCCAGGTTTCATTCCAAGAATTGACACGTAGGTTTCCTTACCTGACTCTTTCATAGGACACAGAGCACACTGCATGCCCCAGGCTTCACCATACAGGCAACAGCACTCGGTGTATGTGGTCTGCTTTCCAACCAGAGGTCGACTACAAACAAAATCATCACTTAGATGCTGCCAGCAAAGATCCTGGTACACTTCAGTTTCTTCAGTTTGTTCTGATGGAGAAGACGGTATTAGATCATCATCGCATCGCTGTTATTTGAAAAAGATACTTGCATAATGCAAAATTTTCTAAACTTAGATTAGAAAAATAACCTAGCTTTACAGGTTTTGCTGAATACAAATTTAAGCTTAGAAGTCATGACCATTGTTAAGTACCTGAGGTGGCTCATCCCTTGGAGTGTTCAGCTTTGCAAGAATCTTAAAAGGTTCTGATTTGGCACTATCCGGCCAATTTAGAAGCACATTGGGTTGGACACCCAAGAAATAAAACTTCCTAAATCAGTAGTCATTGCTGAATGCTTAACACCGACACAGCTCCGCTCTCATGGAAGTGAACGGAGCTTGACAAAAACAGGCGTTAGGACAGAGGTGATATTTGGGGAACTCCATCCACGGAATGAATCTTTAAAAGCTGTTATTTTGCTTTTCTTATGTTGCCATCGATGGCATCTGAAAGAACTTTTACAGCTAGGGCAGAGCTGAACAAAAATTCTACATGGGCTCAAAGGGAGACTGGACAAATACTTGGAAGAGAGTCCCATTAACCAAACAGACAAACTACACCAGGCTCAGGAAATCCCCTGAGCTGAAAATAGCTGGAGGCTGGGAGAGTGCTGGGGACGGTGAGGAGAAGTATTGTTTATCTGCCCTTCTGGTCCCTAATCATCCACTTACAGCTATTGTTAGAGACAGAATACTGCTGCGAACTACTGACACATTCTTATGAACATTAACAAAAACACGTATTTCTGTCAAAGCTGGAATATTTCAGAGGCATACTAGTTCTGACAAAGATCTCAGTAGGAACAGTTCCTAGTTCTAGCAGTCTCTGATCACTGCTGATCGGAGGGAGAGGAACTGTAAACTTAATCTTACGCTTGGAATGTAAAAACCTCAGCACAATTGTTTTGTAAAGACATCTGCAAGGTTTTGATTTTGTTCCAACATAGAGTGAAAAATAAGTGTTGTCACAAACCAAGGTTCTGTTTTGTCTCTGCATCATCTTCTAACTGCATTTTTACATGATGCACTGGTGCATGGGTGAGTATAGAACTGAAACAGCTCAAAACAGTGAGTTCGAAAAGTGCAAAGGTGATCAAAATTTAGATACCTATTCTACTAAGAACTTGCCAGAACATGCAGTAAAGAGCAGCAGCAGTGGGTCTCTGCAACCAACTCCAAATTTTGCTGGCAGCAAAGGAACCAGCCTGCCCCTTCCTCCTCCGTGTTAGGGAGGACATTGCCAGTAGCGATACAAGGCTTGAGCGCTTTGTGCTGGGTGAGAAGGTCACTGCTGTATCAGCCCCCGTGTCGCGTGATGGAAGAAGAGCCTTTGGGCCCTTGCATTCTCTTCACATCCTAGATGAACCCAAAGGACAATCCTGCTCTTGGTTTGTTTAACTGAAGATCAAACAATGGAAGTCCTGTGGTTCTTTCACAGTTTCAGGCAAGAGGATGACCACATTCCTCTTCAAAAGTACCAGTCTTATAATTTGGAGTGACTAAAGCAGGCATTCAGTCTGTATTCCCATTTCCTTTCACAGAAGCATCTTAGAAAAATGCATTGTAAGTTGCAGGGACCAGAGGTCAGGATTTATGGCTATAGAGTGCCAATATTAATCAAACCCATTGTAACAATTCTTTCAAAGATGTGTGTGGCATAGGCAAAGCAGTGCAGACTGCATAATGCTCTGGATTTCTGAGACGTTTCTAAGAATCCCATAATATTTAACTTTTCTTCTGAAATCAGGCTACTGAAATTAGAAGAACATGCAAAAACCATACTTTAACAGTGACGCTGCAGCGCACAGCTTGAAAATGTGAGCTCGATGTACCCTCAGTATTAATAAACCGAAAGCACAGATACAGTTTCAGCTATTTCCTCCTATATCCTGTTATTCCTGTTTTTATTCCTTGCTTTGTTAGAAGCACTCACTCCCTCTGACCTGAATCTCCAGTTAGCCCCCAGCCAAACCCCAGCCTTAGTGAGACAGCAAGCAGGCTGTGCCTCATTACCTACGAGGCTGGACGAGGCAGATGCAGAGCTGGTGAATCAGGGGGCTGGAGACTCCCCAGCCCAAGCCTATTCTCATTAATACTTCCAGCCATCTCCTGTCTGCATTGGCAAAGTGAAGCCCTGTGGAGTCCTACATCACGATGCCTTCTGGATCAACAGATGATGGTCCAAGCATTGCCTTCCAAAATTCTCCAGAAGAGCAGGCTCATCCAAGAATGACCCAGTCTAAGCTCATGGGGGTCTGTAGCCATGTCAGCACCACCTCGGAGAGGTGTACTCACTTCAGTAATATGTATAATGGATCATACCACTTGAATCTGCTGGTCTGATGCATCGTTTTTCTGTTGCGTCCAGAACCATTGGGTGTGTACAGAAACAGTTGTAAGATCCTTCTGTGTTAATGCACTGGCCATCAATACAGCTGTTTGGGTCCTGACATTCATCCGTGTCTTTAAAATGGAAGGAAATGTATCAAGGAGAGCCAGCACAAAGCAGTCGCATTGTGTTAATCCATCTTTATATTTTCGTATATTAGGAGCAGATTTCCCTGCATGCCTTCTGTTAATTACCACAAATATCAACTGCTGGCAGCAAAATCCTGCCTGTGCCCACGGAGAAGGACAGACAGATCAGAAGGATGCTGACCTCTAATCCTCAAGTACTAGGGAGCATCTGTATGAGGAGGCTTGCTGGGGGGGCTGGAGGGCCAGGCACACCCTGCATCCCCATGTTTCTGTCCCTTTGGGTCAGTACCAGCAGGCATTAGAGGTGGGCATACTCTTTGAGACTCTTCTTGAGCTGGTCAGGAGAAGGGAATCACCTTACCTAGCCACGGTAGTTCTATTCCTTAGTTTGTCTTGGAGAGGAAAAGCAGAAATTTAGCTCAAAGGGAAGAGCAGGCCATTTTACTTCAAATAAATTACATAAAAATCAGCAAAGCCCCCACCCTTTGTAAAGAACAATCATAGAATCCCAAGGTGAAAGGCTCACTTACTGCGATTGCCAAAATTATTTCCTTTCATTATGCTATTCTGCACATTATACATAGTTTTCTGCTTACAAAGCAAAAGCCAGGGTCACGGTTATGAGTAATTTTCAGTTGCATACCAGAACCAAAGGAGTACAAGGTTGTGCAGACTGAAAAGGGCTTATCAGGGACCTGAACTGTAATTTCATATTGCACAGTAACTCCTTGTGGAAAATATCTGTCCTTGAAAAACAAAGTCAGTGTTAATTTGATTTCTTATGGTAAAACCGCCACACTTACCAAATGAAAGGGGAGCTTCAACACACAGACTTTCCCTGCTCACCCCACGCACAGGGAACAGAAGGCGAAGCTGTACCTTGGCAGAGTGAAGCAGCAGGGTGCGTATAAGGAGGCAGGCACCTCCGATCACCTTGTACTGCCTGTGGAAAGGCTGGTACCAGCTCTAGACGATGCAGCCAGGGGAGCACAAAGGGCTGTTTTGGAGTTGCAAACTCCTGGGAGCAATTTGCTGAAAAAGGATGCAAATGCAGCAAACCCTGCTCTACATGCCATCGCTGTGTCAGCCAGAATTGCTGCCCAGCCAAGCAGAAGGGAATGGAAATGACCCAATGCCTCTTAAAAAGCTGCTACAGGAGTTTGGAGGCCCAGTGTTCCTCCCCTTGCTGGGAATACTGCCGTTCTGATGGGAATCCTGCTGTATGAGTCTGCTTGTTTTGCCCATCTGCATACCATTATAGTGACAAGACCACTTTAAATAAACTTACCAAAGCACTGGAGCTTAACAGGGTCATAGTATGTGCCTTGTTTGCAGTAGCACTCGTAACCTGGCTGCGTATTCAAACAGAAGCCATTTTTACAGATTTCTTGTCCAAAGAGTTGGCATTCATCAGCATCTGGGGAGAAAACATGAGAGGCTGTGTTACCGTAATTATTACGAGGCCATGCAGAGGAGCAGGACGGAATAAAGCCTATACACTTCTCTGTTCAAGCAAACTGCACTTTAAACAGAGGGCCCCAGGAGCACAGATATCCACAGGAAAAAAAAAAACAAAAACAAAAAACACAACAGACCTGGTGTGGAAGAGGTTACAGTGTGCTCATAGCCGGAATGGGAAAGGGAAAACCGGTTGACCATGACTTTCCCTTATTGTCAGAATAAGTCCTGTGGCACACAGAGACTGGAAGAATCTGCAGCTCGCCTTTCTTTCCTTTGGTACCACGTTGCTTTTGGCTCCAAGCAAAACAGATGAAGAATATGGCCTGGATTTTCCAGTATAATTTGCTTTACCTAAGGGATTCCCATCATGGATCTAACTTCATCACACCATCTAACTGCAAAACTAACCAAGTGTTTATGCCTATGGATGGACTTCGTGGCTGCTCTCCTTTCTGCACACAGTTTGGTGACTCTGCTGTGCATGGCAGGGAATCTTCATATCCGTACTGCTTGTGACTTTGTTTTTCAAAGCTACATGCACAACTTCCGTGGAGACTTCCCACCACGTAGGAATAATGATGTCTGTTGCTAAATATAAAGCTGCAACTACTGTAGACCTAGTGATAGCTGACGAAGAGAATCTACCACACTTTCAAATGAGGCTAAATGTTTTCAGGAAAGTTTAATGGAAAATATATGCCAGCTCATACATAGCTTTTCACAGTTCTAGACATTTTTTCCCAGTCTTGTATTTATGTATTTGTTACCGTTGGAATTCCATTCACCTCCTTTTTTCCAACCTACTTTTCATTTGCTAGACCCACCTAGAATAGTCTGTCAAAGCTCAGCTGGTATTAAAAATGGCGATAAAAGGCACAATATAAAGTGGGCGATTCTCCTCTTAACACCAATTGTCTTAATCCACTGTCTTCTATAGATTCGCTCCCCAGTTACTCTGGGGCAACACACGTTTTAGCCCAAAGCTGTCATTTCCAGCTGTACAGCAGTTTTAAAGGTGAATTATTCAAACGCTTACTTTTTCCAGAAGAACTGAAAGTGCTCTAAAGCTATTTATTTTTACAGTCACTCTTCCAGCCACTAAGTGGCTTCAGTTAAATATTTTGACTGTTTAGCAGCAAGAACAATGCAAAGATTAATAAGAAATGTCATGTACATGTCTGGTTTTTTTTTCCTGTGGAACATGGATTTGTGTCTGGGGAAGAATGGGAAGGCCTGAGAGCAGGGTCAAGGAAGGCTAGCTGAGTATATTAACTTCTGACAGATAATTCCAATTAAGAAAATAGGAGCTGCTCCTATAAGCAGAAGCTTGTGGATAAAAGCAACAGGAACACATGAGTTAGTGTAACAGAGAAAGATTGCATTACTAGAAGTACTATCTGTTTATTGGTTGTCCTTTGTGCCATTCCTGAGGTTATTACAAAACAAACGTACTGAAAACAGAAAAAGTCTTATTATGGCAAGGATCTGTGGAAGATATTTCCAGATGAACTATTTCCATGCTTCAATATTTATGGCAGCTAGAGAACTTATCAATCCTGAGGTAGCACAACAAAAACAATGCAGATAGATTTCTCTGAGACACATTTGGACATACTGTACATACAGCATGTCCCAAATCTACATTGCAAAGATGTGCAGAAATCTTAGATCTGCAAAAAAACACCTGCTGCGGATAACACAAAAACATATTAGGAGGACAGAGAACTGAACTCAACCATGGTCTGCTCACTAACTTGATTAGAAAACTGACCCAGTAATGTCCTCATCGGTGAGGAAGAATAGTTTGAAAAAGTACATGTGACAATCGTTAGGGAAAAAACCAAAAAATCTTTTAAATCCCACCAATTTTTGTCAGCTCTCAGAATTAGGTCTCACCGATTAGTGATTTATCTAGAAGCAACTCTGACAAATCATAGAATCATTAAGGTTGGAAAAGACCTCAAGGATCATCAAGTCCAACCGTCAACCCAACCCCACCTAACCCACTAACCCATGTCCCCCAGCACCACATCGACACGTTTCTTGAACCCCTCCAGGGATGGTGACTCCACCACTGCCCTGGGC